GATTTTATGGAAAATGGGGATTGGCAGTAATCTTCAGATGCAGAAGACCAGTTTTGCAAAAGATTTTCCTTGTTGTAAAGAATGAGAAGATGTGAACTTGGGCAGGCTGCAATAATGATGAGCATTCACAATTGCTTCACTGACAAAATTTATCCCCAAACAGCCTTCTCTGTAGGATAATTACCTAAACAGAGAGACGTGTAGATGTGAACTGCAGTGCTTAATCACGCAACAGTTAAATGAAGTGATTGTTTTAATGTGTGCACTAAACAAGTATATTAAAACTGTATCATGGATTCATAGCTATGAAGGATATACTTTATTAGGCTTTAAAAATAGATAAGCTGTCTTAAAAGTAAGCAGAAATATGTTCAATATACAACTAAATTAACTGCCAAACAAAAAAGGCACTGAATTTAAGGGCGTGGGTTATGGTTTTGTGGTCAAATTATTTTTGGTATATTGAATGTGAATTCAAAAGGAAGGCTATAAACAAAACTCTAAGAAGAGCTAGAGAGCATGAATTAAGAGGTACATAAGCCCTTGTTAGACAAGCGCAATAATACAAAGACATAATTTACTATAGTTGGAAGATAAGGAAAACAAGATAAAACTCAGGTTATTTAGATTACTTGAGATCTTACAAGCTGATTTTACATCAGTAGGTACACACACACACACACACACATACACCCAACATGTGTTAATATACCTACCAAGTACATGCAGAGATCTGAATAAAATGAATAGTAATATTTTCCAATGAGAAGTTGAGCTGAGCACACGCACCCATTTTCAATAATAACGTCCCTTAAACTTGAATGGCACAACAGTCTGTCAGGGAAGTGGTGAAATAATCAGACTGTTGAGTGACTCAAAATTAGATCAGATGAAGCGTTTTAAAAATACACCGTAGGAAATAATTTAATGTTGGTGAGGCAATAAAAGGATGACCTAAATCGATCTTTTCCACCTCTAACTTTTAATGCTTTCATGTAGTTTAAAAATAGAAAAATATATTTAGAGAAGTACTGAAAGGACCTAAACTCTAATGAGCTTGTTATTTAACATTAATATATTTGGTAGTCATGGCTTTGTTATAGAAACAATGCAAATATAGCTATGTGCCTTAATCCTTTCCCTACTACTATGAAATCAACAATGAAGGAAGAACTTAGAGGGTTTGGAGCAGTATTTAAGAAATTGTTGGTAGATTTGTCCTTAAGGATTAAATTCTAAACACATATGTCCGGTATAATAGATCTCAATGTTGTAGTCAAATTTAAATAAGATTTAGTTTTTCCCATATGTAAATATTCATATAACTGGATATAAACATATGATGATGGTGGAAAAATGGTGGTATAGAGGTTATTTGAAGATTATTAGCTAATGTATATAAAGAGGGAGATTAGATGAGAAGGAGCTTTTAGAAAAGTTACTTTTCATATTTTTCATATTTTTTCTGATCTTAAATAATTGGCCGTCAGAAATGGTCTCTTTTATATCACTTGATTTCTCTTATATTCAAAGGTGGTGAAGTTACCACATAAAATGAATGATATTGTTTGAGGAGAAAGGGCTCAATACATTTTTCTAATAGTTTCTAATTTATATTTCCTTCATTTCATATGCTCTTCCAACTTACAGTGATTTGGTTGGGTTACCCTTGCTCACCTTTGGGAAAACTTTTATGCTTACATCCAGCACATGCACTTTGACAAGCAGTGGTAACTCACTGGTCCTTGGAGTCAGCCTATGTGACTTTTAGGATAAACCATGGGTTGAATTATGGCCCCAGGGACCAGCTGCCTGGAAGTAGTCCTGACAGAGCCCTCCTTAGCTGCTGATTGTTTCTAGACCAGCAGCGTGACCTCTGAGCTGTGCAAATACTTGGTTGTGTATTCATCATGCTTACCCTCAAGTGACTGGCTTTACAAAAACTTCAAAGAAAACTGGCTTATGCTAACTTCTCTTACAGTCCTTGCTCTCAAAGCATGCTATTGGAGACAAAGTCCATTTACATGTAGAAAACAGGGAGAAAGGCCATTTGCCCAGTTCTTGAAGTTTGCTGTGGTTTAGTAAGGCAAAATTAAATGGCCACTTCATTTTCCTTTGGAAGTGGTGATGATGGGAAGGTGCTGGCTGTGGGCAACATTTGCCGTGGTGCCCAGCTCACTGATAGGATGTAGATGTTCAATAAACGCTAGTTAGATGGATGAATGAATGGTCTTTTCAAAGTAAGTGAAATTTTGGGGCTGCCTTTCTGCATCTTTTTCTGAGTAACTGGCCTCCTAGAGTAGATGTTTCCATGGGAACTGAAAAAACACAGGAGAAGGAGAAGAAGAATAAAATTCTGTCTGGCCATCTTTTGAAATGTGTGCATATATACATCTTTGACTAGCCTTAAAACAGTCAACATGATATATTGGGGGAAAAATCATGACATTTTGGAAACAAACAGATCTATGTCTAAATCCTAACTTGCTACTTACTAATATCCTGCAAAGGATAGGTTATTTAACCTCTCTGAGGCTCACTTTTTCTTCATTTACAATGGATAAATTACCCTTTGCCTTGGAAGCTTGTTTTGAGATAAATCACCTCATATAGTGTGTACCTGTGGCTCAACATGAGTAATAACAGTTTCATTTTTTTAGTATCTCATAGTTGCTTGAGTCAGGGATGGAAAGTGTACAAATATTTTAATTTATCTTTCTACCAACTATGCAAGGTAAAGAGCATCATTCCCATTACCCAGGTAATTAAACTGACAGTCAATGATGTAAAGGAATCTACACAAGGTCACAGAGCTAACAAGTGTGAAAGCAAAGATTTGACTTAAATTATCCAATTCCTGAGCCCAGGCTTTCTATTATACTGATTAATAAATATTATTTCTTTCCTTGCCCAAAAGAAATGAAATTATATAATTCTCCTTTTTCTAATTAATCTTGTAACCCTCTTTTATAGGGTGATATCCCTAATTCCCATAATAAACCCCAATAGGCTCATTTTGTTCATTTTACTCTCTTATTGAGAATCTAGCTGTGGCCTTCATATGGGTAGTGTTTTCAGTTTTCATTATTGGATCTCACATCTTTTCAATAGATTTATTCTGTGCTATTTCAGGTTATATTACTGTAATACTGAAATCCAAATAGGTTAGGGGATGCAATAAACTTTTAGTGCCAATGAAGTAACTCAGATTTTCCATAACCAACCCGAGGGAGAAAACAAGATATAGCCTTCTGGCTATGTGAAAGTACAACGGTGTCTCTTCTGTCATGAATGGAGCCAGAGATTCTGTTGGCCATGTGTCTGTATGTGATGTCAGTGGGAACTTTGAATATTAAGGGTGGAGATGCCTAACTTGGATGATCTGACTTTGGAGCTATTAGCAGAAGCTGGAAATGCTTATAGCCATGTCTGAGTAAGAAGGATATGAACCTTGGACTTATTCTGACAGTTGCCTTTAATTAAATGAGCCTGGCCCTCTTAGATTCTGGCAATTCAGCTATTTAGAAAGCACTTGTCTTTGGAAATCTTCTAACTTTTCCAAGTTTTGTTTTTACTCAGCATCTTGGGCTTTCCCCCCCCCCATTTTCAGATTTATAATCGTTTAGATACAAATTGCTGTGGATTCAGACCTCGAAAGGAAGATGCCTGTGTACAGAATGGATTGAGGCGAAAATGCAATGACCAAGATTCTGCAGCTCTGGCACACATTGTCCAGCGAAAGCATGACCCAAGGCATTTGGTTTTCATAGACAATAAAGGTTTCTTTGACAGAAGTGAAGATAATTTAAACTTCAAGTTGTTAGAAGGCATCAAAGAGTAAGTTTTATGATGTAACATCTGCAGGACATCGCATTTATATTAGATAAGTAGTAAGATTCTGAGAAAACTCACATCCTATGTCTGATTGCTTTAACCGTTGAAAGTAATTGTGAATGTGGAATCTGGGAAGGGAGACCCAGAGAAGGGAAACAAACCCAAGTGGAACCAAACCAGAGTGCAGCCATGGCATGTCTATCACCAGATCATACCACCTACAAAGCACATTCATTATGCTTCAAATTCATTGTGAAAATTCATGTGGGTTGCTTTGGAAGAATGCAGGGATCTCTGGAATGGGAACTGGCAGAGCAGGGATATGCAGGTGGCAGAGGCTCCATTATTAGGCACAGGATAGGATGTGGGGGGATCTAATAGACATGCAAATATTGACATGGCAGGATGTCCAAATTCATAATGAACTTGATTGACCTTTATGAATGCAGTAGAAAATGAGAGCCAATCTGGTGAGCAGGGCACAGGATCAAAGGACAGCTGGCCGTTTAATTCAGGAAGGAGAATTGTCGAGCATTTGGAAATACTTCCAGTAGACATAGATTATGGGGAAAAGTATCAAACACCTGAAAGGGAGGGCTGATGGAGGCCAGTTAGGGATGAAAAAGTATTTCTATATTTAGGGCTGACCAACAGTTCAAGGGAGATCTTAAAAATTTAGAGACATCTGGCAGAGCTCGGAAAGAATGCAGAGTGGACAGAGGACCAGTGTGCAACTAAAGAAGGAGTTCTGCACTGCAGAAGTTAGAACACAATGGTTGCTCATGGCACTCTTGATCTTACATCTATTTGGAAATAAAGGAAATTAAGACGCTTAGTAATGGCAGAAACCCAGCTATAAAGTGTGAGCTATTCAACCCTTGCTATGGAACTTGTGGCTAGATTTCAAACTTGTTGCCTCGTAGTAGGTGGAGCCATCCTCCATATACTTTCTACCTTAGTCAGAAACCAGATTGACAAAAAACTGGGGTAGATTGGAGACTTAAAAATAGAGGGTGCATTAGTAAAATAGCTAACCAGCTGTGCAAAGCTAAGTGACTGCCAGGAAGCACACGAGCAAGTCTAAGATTGAAGTTAGAATCCAGATCTTCCAAATCCAAGTCCAATGTATTTTTCTGCAATAACTTGTGGTGTTCATGCTCTGTTACTATTACTCTTGTTAATAATATTCTGGAGCATATTTCATTCTTTTGAAACACCATGACTTAGGTAATGTGGATTTTATTTACTTTAACATTAAAAGCAATACGGTTCCTGTGGGAGTTTCATAAGTCCATTTTCATGAATTTTTGCCATGTCCTCCCTGTTGATACCTGTTCCTCATGTATCTTTGTGGATTGAAGGCAGACTATGTAGCAGATTCTCTCTTTTAAATGTCTAAGCTAAGGAAATTTTATGTATAGGGAAATTTACATTCCTAAGACATCACTTACTGAGTTGATATTACGGGATCTCTTTAAATCCCTAAATTCCTACTTAGAGTAAAAAATGCCTGGAGAATATAGTCCATCCATTTCATACATTCATATAAATATGAACACTCATTTATTCTTTCAAAGAAGATTTAACTTTAAATGCATTATAAGGAGTAATGTGTTTGAAGTTAAATCTTCTTTGAATGTATAACTCACACATTGAAAAGCAAAAATGAAGACTTTGCTAATCCCAGATTTATGCATTGAATGTTCCTATTGATCAACATAAAGCACAGACAGGTAGTATTTTTGCTTTCCTTTATGAAAAGGATTAGTCAGTAAAGAGATCTATGGTTTTAAGTTTCATCTCATATATTCTGCCACAGCTAAATTAGTTGAAGGGCCGTTGAATTTACAAATCATGGATTATTAATACTCCATAGAGCAAAAATGCTACTTAATACTATAGTCATTAAATTATATAGTAATGTCTTCAGGGAACTTAGAGCATCTTATAATCATTCTTTAATTCCACAGTTACTCAGACTCACTATGCACGTCCAGCTCTGTGGCCACTGGTCTTTCTGCAGCATCAGAGCTGCTGAGGCACCTGGTCCCTCGCATTCATGCACCCTGTGTGCCATCCTCGCTGTGCTCCATTGACATTTGGGAAAGGTGCTTAGAAAGCCTAAAATTCTGGCAAAGTATACCCTTCAAACCAGTGTAGATATTCTTGCCATAGTTTTTAAGGTACAACTGAGTTTATTTGAAAATCACTATTAAACCCCGATATTTTTACTGTGCTTTCATTAGCATTTAAATCAAAGCTAGAAAAGGCCAAATTGGGGATTGAGCAAAATATTATTTATGCTTTTGATCCAGAAATTTTGCTAAGTTGTTCAGATAATGTATATGCTAGGGTCCTGGCTTTATAATTTCCCAATGAAGAGGAGCAAGCTCAGCGTACTTTCTTAAGGTAATTTAGCAAGGACTATTCTAAAATGGCTCTAGGTTTTCTAGAGAGATGTCCATTGTGGAATGCCATGGCTCTAAAACTTGGGTTTTGCTAAATTTATTTGAAAACAGTTTAATATGCCAGTTAAATAAAATGCTCCCAAATCCTTCAGAATTCCTGAAGTATGATCTGAATCAAAGACAATTCTTTACTTGGGCATTTTTTAATGATTCTTTTCTCATTTTGGTACACACATTCTGGATTATTTCACATTGAATTCAGTTGTGTAACTTCTACTGAGGCAGAACGTTTTACTGAAATCGTCATCATTTTGCCTGTCATGTTTTCTTGCGTAAAACCTCACCTTAACACTTAGGAAGATGATCTTCTACTTGACAGATTAAGGGGTTTCCATGAGCAAAATGAGTTTAAGATCGAGGAGAATATTTCTGCTGGTCTAATAGAATCCTTTCTAATTCTGTGCCTCTCTTGCTGCATATAATGACCTTAAGTAAGATGTTAGTATATGAAGGTCTGAATGGCATAGAAAAGTCACTTTGCTTGAAATGCATTCTTCCAGCATATTATTATTAAGAGAAGTGTCAGTTTGGCAGTGACAAAAAGGTTTTTGTTCTCAAAGATACCATTTGATAGCGTAATTTATGCCAGATTAATGAAGGGCAATTGAGTAAGGAATAATATTCCCAAGCAATTACCAAGAATGAAACATCATTTTATCTTTTCAGGTTTCCCGAATCTGCAGTTTCTGTTTTGAAGAGCCAGCACTTACGGCAGAAACTCCTTCAATCTCTGTTTCTTGATAAAGTTTATTGGGAAAGTCAAGGGGGTAGACCTGGAATTGAAAAGCTTATTGATGTAATTGAGCAGAGAGCCAAAATTCTCATCACCTACATCAACGCCCACGGGGCCAGAGTATTACCGATGAATGAATGACAAAGGATCTCCTGGCTAGAGGAGTATTTATGCATTTGTATTTTTGATTTTAAATCAAGTCCATCAATGTCAAGTCCTTTTAGGAATGAGGTGGTGCAGATGAACACATAAAATAAATGAATTTAACCAAGTAGGTATTATGGGCCTGAACATTGTATGCCGACTTAAAAAGGTTTTAAAAAACATAACTGCTCAAGAAATATTTGTTTATATTTTTCTCTAACATCATGTTATGTGAGTCTCAACATCTAATTACAGAATAGTTCCAACTATTATTCTAGCTAACTTTTATAAACATTTATCATGTCATTTAATAGAACAGTGTAAACCAGAGATACTGACTCCATTAATAAACCATGTATTATGCCGTTTTGACTGTTTTGACCAAATATTAATGGGAAAGGTTCTTGATGTTCTGTTGCTGATAAAACAGAGCAGTCCCCACACTACCCAGAGGCAATTCTGCACTGGAAAACTGAGGCACATGGTCTGTGAGAGCATCGGAGCCTACAATACATTTAAATAGAAATGCTGGTTTATTTGCAAAATCATCAGTACATTTTCTATTGTATCTATATGTAATCAGCCATTTAAGCAGCAAAAATCATATTTTCCATCACTTTTTAGAAATGTATTTTGTTATCAGTATGAAAATCACGCACATCTGACAATTTATATATTGAATATCAGTTTTGCTCTTTCAATTTTGATCCAATTTATTTCTAGTGCTTAGAAATTAAACAATTCTAAGGTATGAAGTTACCTATTTGAAAATGTACTTGTAGAGTCTTTTTTAAATGGATGTTCATTTGTTAAAATTTTTGTCATTTTTACAAAGAACGTACTATGATTTCTGTATATTTTATTTATAATAGTAGATTTCTTAAAGTTTGTTCCATGTAATTATATTTAATCTGATTTAATTCACATTGCCCAGATATTGAGAATAGGTCCAGATATTGAATGTATTTAAATATATTGTCTGACTTATTCCAATATGAGAAATTTGAACAAAATAAATTAAAACCTGACTCTAATCAATTCTCCTCAATAAAAGCACATGACTAGAGCTAAAACAGTGAACTTGGGCAACATTAAGCCTCAGATAATTCTCCCCAAACTCCCTCTACCACATTTTAAATTAGATTGGAAGGAGAATACCCCAGATCATCATGTGTGATAGATAGTCATCTACAGGTTTCAAATTTAGACCAAATTATCATTACGCTCCTACCCTTACACATCCTACTCCTTACTTAAAAGCTCACTTAGTGACTTTTTCATTTCCTGAAAGTTTAAAAATATAATTTAAGAATGTTTATAATACATTCTATACTGTCTTTGCTCAGTTCTGTCTGTTATTGCTAAAGTGAACCACATTTTTTGTGTTCTGATCAAGGGTAACTCGGTATCAGAACTATTAATGACATTACAATAGAGGCTAGATTTTAACAAAGAACGTATTTATAGATTCTGATTTATACAAGTGTGCATAGAGCAAAATGTCAAAATAGCATGTTACATACAAGAGAAGATGGAGGAGAGAGATCATTTGATCATTTAATTATGACTTTTCTAGGCTCACATTCAACTACTACTGTTAGTACCCTTATTCGCTGCGCTTGCCCTTGGATGGCTGATCTCTGGACCATCCTCCTCTTCAATTTCCCTTTGTAGGCCTGAGTGCTTCCCTCTGTTCTCACGAATTTATGGTACTCGTTGGCTCCCCTGAGTTCCCACTTTTACGTGTTCATCCTGGGCTTTTTAATATCTTTTTTTCTCTCATAAATCATCCTCTTAATGACAATTGGCCTAATAAAAGTTCGGAGACTGGAGTTCTACTTGGACTGAGCCACCGACTTGAAATAACTCTTTTGGCAAGTTGCCTTACACCTTGTCTTATCAAGGTGGCATCTCGACATTTTAACTTGCTTTTTATAAAATTTACCATCTCAATCCAAATTTGTGACATTGATGGCGGGTTTACAGCTTTTAGAGAAGGTAGCTTTAGTTTTGTGTTTCAGGCTACACTGCTTCTGGGCAGCCCAATTGTCTCATGTGCGGGTCTTTGTTTATTTGCCTCCAGTTATTCCAAACTGCTTAATAATAAATGAAAGGTCTCCGAGCACGTTTATTTTAGTCACCTTTGCTTTTTAACAATGTATTTTGTTTTGTAACCAATAAATAATTCATGATTGATTATTTGTGACTAATGGATAGCTGAAAGCCAGGCCTTTAATTATAATAAGTAACATTCTTTTCTCTTATGGAAACAATAAGAATACTCTGTGCATTTCAAATGCACTCACATTATGCTGTGGTTTGGTTCATATAAGTGCAGTATGTGGTTTATTTATAACTTGATAACAAATTTAAAATATAATAATTTACCTTAGTAGACATGCAAAAGCTTAGTCTTGTGTGACTTATTTTAGCTAATGATACGAAAATAAATCTGTATCTTTAAAATCAGTAATAAAACATTAGAAATTAAATATGTGTGCCTTTTCTTTTGTAGATGAGTTACTTTTCAAAGCTGAGTACGGAGGAATGTTTGCTACCTTTATCTATGAAAAAAGAAACAATCAAATAGTTAAATATTTTGTTGGATTGTGTTTTTGTGTAAATGTGTTTGATATCCTCATGTGTGATCATCATGCTTCTCTTGGTGTACCTATAGTACTATTTTAGGTAGTTAGCAAACTAGTTAGCAGATATTGTAAAATATAAAAGATTTAATTTTGGTTTCTCTTTGCTCGGAGTGGGTCTTATAATTATGTTTAAAGTTTTCTTTATAACAGTCATAGTCATTAAGTTTATTAGGCACACAGGAAGCTTATCAAAATATAAAATATCTTAGACTTATTTTCAAAATATTTAATATCTTAGACTTATTTTCAAAATATTTATACCCTCTGGAGTTGTATAATAGTTTGTTTATTCGATTGTGCCTTTAAATATACTTTACTTCATATATAACAAATAAAAGACTTAGATGTAGATTCATTTATGCAGTCTTATGAAATAGTTACGTTTATCTCAGCAGAGAACTAGGTAAGACACATTTAGAGCACTAATTTGAAAATGATATGGAAATTAAACATGGGTCAAATAAAAATGGTAAAGAGCTTTCTCTAAAAATTAAGTAGTATAATCAACAATCAAGAACTTTCATTCATGAAAAGTAATTTGACTTGATTTGTCAGGAAAATTATCTGAAACTTGGAAATAGAAGAGATTTTTGGGCTTTCTTTTAGTGCTGGACTTGATTTTCTATTGAATGGACTATTTAACAATATAATAGGAAAGAGGTTAATTTGTAGATTTTGTTCCAAAGAGATGCATACAATATGTTTCTGGTGGAAAAGATAGCCCTAATTTATTAGTCTGCTGGACATTAACCAGTTTTAAATCAAGTCCAGTAATCTTATCATAATATCGCCTACACATATTTAGCTTTTGAAATAGTCGTAAGTGGTTTTACCACCTTACAGTTTCCCTCATTAATTAATCATTTGAATAAAATCTTTAACATATATTCATTTTACATTTGCATAGAAATCAGAGTTTTACCTTTTCAAAAATTTTGCTTTAATAAACTTCTGACCACAAAGTCATATAATTTTATTTGCTTGAGAATCATGATTTTAAATTTTTGAAAATTTTACTGTAACAAACTTTCAAAACATGAACTTATAGAATTTTATACTGAATGTTACTGTGGAGTCAGCATCTTGTCCAATAACCTCATCCTCTGGATGAAGAAACTGAAGCTTAGTGAGGCAAAGTGATTTGCTCCAATTTCCACAAATGGTTGACATAGAATTTTCAATGTTGGAACCGACTTAGAAAATTAGAAAGCCAGAACTTTCTCAGAGATTCGTTATCTACTAAGATAAAATTAGGAACCCAAACTTTATAAACCCTGAAGTTCTTACATAGGCATATTCATTTTTAGTAATAATTTTAGGGCACGTCTTTGTGAACTTTTAGAGAGCAGAATAAGCAAAAAAGCTACCCATTCTGTGAAACTTTTGATAATCACATTGCACAGTTAATTGAGATTCTACTATGTGCTATGCTCCGTAATAGACAATGCAGATACACAAATTAATAAGCAAACTTCAGTTGAGATCTGTAATTGGGCTTTCAGTTATATCTTCAGTAACAAAAATTAAGGAAATCATTTTTTTTTGAGAAATGTCCAGAAATAAAAACTCTTAGACTAGAGAGGGATTTTTGTTCTCACAGTAAGAATTTGACTCTATCTGTAGACTCTATTGTTGACTAATACTGCTCAAAATGATAATTTGGAGAAATGTTATGGCTAGGCAAGTAGATCTAATCACCTCAATATGTCCTGCAGACACCACTGTGTTCCTGTGTGTGGAACATTCCAGATGCTCATAATGAATACATTGATTAATCAAAAATGCATTAACTTACGTTTTGTGTTGTACCAGTGGTATTTAAACTTTTATGAGATCTGGATCACTTTGAGAAGCTGATTGAAGGTCCAGTCTGTTTATACGACTCTGTGTATAATTTCAAGCGTCCCTCAAACCTGTGGACACCCATTTATAAAACGCTTCTTTCCTGGGTCTATGGTCTCCCAGGGTAAGAATGTTTGCTTTCCAGTGCATTTAAGAAGATGAGAAATTTTATTATGTACAATTGAAAGATATTCACCTAATATATTTTAAAAGTTTTGTTTTTATGCAAAGGTGAAAACTTAGGTTTTGGAAAAGCAATATTTAATGAGATACTTTATTTGTCAATGAAAGTTGAGAAACCATTTACTTTAGTAATTATTCTTAAACATTTTCAGCCCCTACCATCAATCCTCACTTCACTACCATTTACTTAATGAACTACAGAATGAAATCCTTTGAGTTTATTTTCACTTAATCTTTACTTTATTAAAATTACCTGATTTATTTTCCCTGATATGCAGAAGATCCCAGATAGTCACTTTTAAAATAGTGTTTAAGAGAATGAGAGAAGCTAAGAAATGTATACTATTGAATGAACTTATTCGATTTACTGCCAGTTGTTTTCTGGGCGTTACCATAGTGCTCCTGCTTTTTATAAAACAATTTTCTAAAACAAATGAACTTTTCCCAACAGAATTATTTCTTGACATTTATGCAAAGAACTGTAACCCTTTTACAGTTCCTTTAGTTTGTCAAGAGGAGTTCAGAGTGTCTATGCTCATTTCACATTTTGCCCCTTTTCCCATTCGCACACAGCTGTCTTATGTCAAAATATGGCATCTTCTCTCATTTTTAAACTCTTTAGTCCTCAGGGACAGGCCTCTGCTATAAGAAAGGTCTGACTCAGAAGGGTTGCTGGCAGTCTATTTCGCAACCTAAAAA